TCTTCTGAGCGGGGCCGGACCCCAGCTGCTTCAGGATGGGCATGGCGGCCGATTTCACTTCAGCGAGGTCAAAATCTTGGCAGAGAAAATCCTGGATGAACAATCGTCAGTCAGCGCAGGATCCTGAAAATAGAACACAAAGCGTGACACAAGATCCTTTCATGGGCACGCTGAACTTTCGATACGAAATCATGTTTTCGTTGACAAAATATAAAAGCTCCAAAAAAAACAACAACAACAACAAACAAACAAACTGGCTTTTGACTCTGCATGAGACTTGATTTTTAGTTTGTGAGCTATCTACTGTCGTCGTTATTCATTTCTTGTTTGCTGTGGTAGGTTGGACCAGTGCGAAAACAACTTTCCATCCAAGTTTCCTGCCAAAACACACTTTTCTCATACTCACAAGTTTATTATTGCTGCTCCCCCCCACTAAATGGAAGCCCCTCTAACTCCTGAGGACCACCCCGCCGCCTCCCCGTACCCCGACCGAATCAAGCGACACGGTTCACGTTTGTTGCAGAGCGCATTTGCTCAGCCGAATCCAAAGCAGCAGAAGCAAATATGAGGCCGGCTACATTCGCACGCTGTTGTATTTCGAGCCTTTCTTTTCTTTTTTTTTTTTTTCCCCCCATGCGAACGTGCATACATACGCTGGTCTGGATGTGGAAGAAGGGGGGAGGGGGTGGTGAGCCTGAGAAGGCCGCATTTGGCGTGGGAAAGGCGAGGTCACGGCACGGGAGGCTTGACTTTATCAACATTCTTTTACGACACTGCAAACATGGACGACGTGGCGCAGACACCCCCGCGCATCTGCTTTGTTGGGCAAAAATCGGATCGGAATTTTCCTTTCAAGATCAAGTTTAAAAAAAAAAAAATGAAAATGCTGGAATACGAATGCCGCAACTTCACATGTGCCTTTTGCCCTTCGGCATCTCTGCCGAAATTTGATTCACAAGCGACACGTGGACACGCCAAACAGCCATGAAAAGAACACGTCGAGGTTCACTTGACTTGAGGGCAGTTTCTTGACGACGCGCGCCACGGGAACACACTTTTCCACACAACTTAACTTTCGATAAAATCCCGACACTGCTTCTTACGGATGGGGAGAAAAACGGCTTGAAATGGCATCTCGTTAACTTGGTGGGAGGCCTGAGAGACCAGCAGAGCAAGACCAAGACAAATCAAGGGGGGGGGGGCATCAATTTCACATCTGAATCATTACGTCACATCTGATGAAGAAGCCTTTGTAAACACACACACACACACACACACACACACACACAGAGGCTGGAAGCCCAAGGCTTAAATCACCCGTAATGAATCTGGTTCATAAAGCATCCAAGCAACAGCTTGAATTTATGAGCACTGGCAGGAAACTAGTGACTTCCTGCATTGAACATTTGACTCCACAGATGCGCACCCAAGTACATTGCGCCGCCTCGGCACACTTTGGCGCGGGACGTTGAGGGGCCTGGCAGACAATTAGCCTGAAACCGTAAAAATCAATCCATGAAACTACAGAGGCAGCAACACGCTCCCTCCGACGACCGCGGCACACGCAAGATCCGGTCGTTAAGCAGACAAAATGGCCACGTCTTCGACAGATATCAGCCACCAAACTGGGTTAGCCGGCCTGAAGATCTCATTTTGCCTAGGAGGGGCTGGAGGAGGAGATTGATCCCATTATGTCAGGGAGGCAGGGAAGTGCCGCCCGCACAGGCAGAACGCAAGCGTCTGATGACCATTTGCAACAAAGGCCCACTTCAACCGCCCGGCCGAAG